GTATCTTCTCTTGATTCTAACTCTGAAGTTGTAGCTTCTGCTTTGTAGATACTTGGGATGCGAGATCCTTTGGGAGAGGCCAGGTCACTTCAGAGTTTTTTTCCGGTGCCCCCGACGGCAGTATAATCCCTATGAAGGGATGGGGTTCACTTATCAGTCCACATTTGTTGCATGGTTTTGGGCTTACAGTTTGGACTTTTTGCGGATTCTGGATATGTATTTTTTTGCCTAGGTATAGGGTTTATGGAAGCCCAAAGCCTAAACCCTAACTTCAAGGGTCTTGCGTCTGTCGGTGCTGAGGTACCTTTCGGGTGTTCTCTCTTCAGGTTTAGGGTTTAGGGTGACTTTCTTGACGCCCAAGGACGATCATACTATTAATCATTAGGGATTGAGGAGGTTGTTTTTGGTCTTATTCTGTGATATCAGCAGGTTTTAGATTTTTACATGGGCCGATAAGGGGTTTGTAGGGCTGCAGCGTGAAAGGGTCAGAAGAGACGTTGGCTACTCTATAAGTCTATAATCATAAGGACGCTTAGGGGGGGAGGGGGGAGTTGGGTCGGGGGCCTGAATATCTATAATACGGGACCCCCCCCCCTTTAAGGGTCCCTGTGACTTAAACCCTAAACTCTCAACCCTTAACCGTGGCTCTAACCCCAAGTCTTGGGGTTCCTGTTTTTGAAACGGCTTAAGAGGAGTCCAGAGGGCGTTGCAAGGGAGTGGTGGGACTTGCTTGGGGCTCATAGCCAGCACCCAAGGTTTAGGGTTTAGGGGTTGAGGGGTTTAGGGTTTACGGGTTTAGGGTTAGGGTTTAGAGGGGTTTAGGGTTAGGGTTTAGGGGTTTAGGGTTAGGGTTTAGGGGTTTGGGGGTTTAGGGTTTAGGGTTTAGGGTTTTAGGTTCTCGGGCTTTTCAAATTTAGGTCTTGCATGGGGGGCCCTAGAGCTCCAGACCGTTGGACGGCTACAAAAGGGTCTGATATTAGGGACCCGAAAAGCACATAAGCATAAGCATTTTATGGAGATATCCCTATGTTTATGGGGCTTCCTTTTAAGGGGGTTTATATGGGACATCCCTATCCTAATTTTTGCTTATGTGCTTTTGTGGGGCCCTATGATATGGCTGTTGGGTCCCGGGCACATGCTTAACCCGAAGCCTCTCTTTTCTGTAGGGCACTGGCACTGCAGGGTTCTGAGTTTATGGGGTAATTTGTACGGGGCTTAGGTATGTAAATGTGCTACGCATGCATCAGGTTTGGGATGTCGATCGCCTCTTGTGGAAAAACGCTGTAGGCAGCAAATTTTGTCGTGCCGAAGCCAATCGCTTCTGTACAGCGTAGGGGTAGGTCTCTAGGCCTCGACTCTGAGAAAACTCACCCTGAACCCTAAACCCCGAAACAACTACTTCGACTAGGAGCCCGGTTGATTTTGAGTCCCAAGCATAACAGCCAAGGATGTCGGACTTATGGGGACGACTTTACTTCTAAGGCCCAAATGCAGTCCGACTTGAAAAACCACACCTGGTCCTGGTTTGGGCTTGTTGTTTTAGACTTTGCGTCAGCCCTGACAAATCTGCTAGTAGTATCATTGCGACTGATGCAATCAGCTTACAACAATTCAGAACTTTGCTGAGTGCTTGGGATTGAAGCCCCAAACCCCTCAGCCATAAATCCTTACCTTAAACTAACAAACCCTACTTTTTTGCAGGGTTCTTATTATAAACCCTAATATGAAATTTATAGGGACCCTACAGAAAAGTAGGTTTTGGTAGGTTAAGGTAGTATTGACTTCGTCAGAGCCCATGGATGCAGCGCTGTCGGTGCCCCCCGAGCTCCTGCGCGGCACATCGCGGAACTCAGCTCACACGCAGCGCCCTGGTAGGATCTGTAAACGGTTTAGGGTTCAAGGTTTAGGGTTTTAGTAATTTAGGGTTCAAGGTTTAGGGCTTTAGGGTTCAAGGTTTAGGGTTTTAGGGTTCCAGGTTTGGGGCTTTAGGGTTTGAGGTTTAGGGTTTCAGGTTTAGGGTTTAGGGCTTGCTGTTTGAGGTTTAGGGTATACCACCTGTCCGCCAAACCCGTCAGCCTGGAAACCCAAACCCCTCTCTGTACCTGCCCTTTGCACGCAACCGCAGCTTTACCCTAGAACACCCAATGCTAAAGACCGCAGGGGATACCGTGGGGTTGCTGGTATGTAATCCAAGGAGGCCCTCTCAAGACCATGTTCGATCGTATCCAGATTTGAGTCTTCTCAAACGAGTCCTCATCAGTCAAATCCCCATGAAAGCTCAGAAATACTGCTGATGGACAAAATCCTGCATTACCCTTTATAAGCAAGATACCATAGTTCCCATAGTTTAGAGTCCTTAGGGTCATGCAGGATTTAGTCCATAACAGTAGTTACCAATGTTAGTCCTCAAGGTTCCTTAGAGTAACTACACTACACTATACCCGCAGAGCCTGTTCATTTTAGTTATTAAGGCCCCTATATTGTATGGAATTACGAATTGTCACTTCTGTGCCCATGCAAAGCTTCACCGAAGCCCTACACCCGTAACACTTCGGGTCCAAAGGCTCCCAATTGCCTTGTATAGTGTCGTCCATGACAACAAGAGAATAAACATCTTTGTCCATGCTGCTAGTGCATATTTACCCTCATGGTGTGGCATATGCGCCACATTCTAGTAAGAGGGCATTGTTTTGTTCAAAGTCTACCCCTTGAGTTAGTGAAGGCATGTCGGGCTGTTGGGTTTTTATTACACCCTGAGCCGCCAATCTGAAGAAAAGGTACTCCTTCGAGGACGACGACGACGATCTCTTATCCTTGGAGGAGCCCAGAATAAGGATCCCTATATACAGCCCCTTAAAGCAGAAACCCCATCTAAAGAGACCATCGACCTATATAAAGTAGATATCACAGAATTTCCTCACGCCTTGAGCTGCCATGACTCAGGGTGCTAAACAGATGTCTTAATGTCCTTCCCAGCACGTTTTGTGGACACAGTCCCCGGACTCTCGATAAAGTTTGCATTTCCATGTCTAAGCCTAAACCCGCTAAACCCTAACATCTGGGTCTTCATCAGGCACTTATCGGCTTAAAGTAGGGCTTCGGCGGTTAAGGGTTTAAGGTTCAGGGTTATGCTTACAGGCTAGCTATCGTTGCTAAACCGTTGGGACAGCAGCACTGAGAGGAATGGTGGGGTGACGGGCCTGGAATATGTGCCGACATCTGAACGTCTACTTGTTCTTCAACTTACATCCAAACGGAGAAGTAAGGCCGCTTGGAATGCCCCTGGCAAGGACAGCCCAAGAGTAGCTGTACAAGTCGAAGGCGCGCCGGCGGCCGGTTTGGGTTTTTATTCCGGTTTGCGCTTAAAGCCTTAAAGCTGAAGCTGTGGGAGTTTCCGATAATTAGGGGTACCTGGTTTTGGGGTCGTTATAATAAGGATCCTACTATCTAGAGAACTATATTAGGGTCCCACATTTTTCGGAAACTCCCATGATCGAGCTTGCCCCATGTACGACTACCGCAACTGGCATTGATTGTCTCGGGAGCAATCCCAGCCTAAACCCTACATCCTAGAAGCCCGACAAGCCCAGCGCCCATTGAACCCTAAACCCCCCAAAAGCCCTAAAATCAAAACCTACACAAGCCCAAAGCCCTACGAAAAGCCCTAACATCGAAAACCTACACAAGCCCAAAGCCCTAAGCCCGAAGATCTTGGCCCAAAATCTCGGACAGATGCGCCGCCCAATCACATCTTCAACGGCACCGGAGCTTTGGAGGAGGCGCCTGGTGAGTTGAGGCTTATTGTCTTTACTTAGGGGTACTTAGAAATAGTTTTTAATTTTTGCTTATTATAATCCCTAAGAAACAGCTAATTATAGTTTTTGCTAGGGTTCTAAGTTCAGTATAGTTTACTCAAAGGGGAAAAGGAGGGAGCTTTAATAGAGACCCTACCCTATGATGGGCTATATAATGGGTATGTAATAGCTATATTAAGGGTATATACCTAGGGGTCCTTATTAAGGGTCCCTCCTTTTACCCTTGGATTTACTGCTCATAGGAATTGTGTTTCATTTTCCTTATAATACAACTTAAGGCTTAAGGGGATTAGTAAGAATTTGAGTTCTATTCTGGTTCTAAGGGCGGGTAAGTTGTGAGGATCCAAGTACTTGAATAAATGCTCGTAGTGGTGTTTTATGTATCAAAATTTGTTCAGGGTATAGCACTGTCAAATCCTAACCCAAGCCCGAACATGGAGTTCCTGTGGACGTCGGAAAACGCGATAGGTCATGGTAGTTTGAGACAGACCCCAGGCTTAGAAGCTGTTGCCGAAATGCGTAAACGTATGATAACTACTTGGCCACTGCAGTTTGCAAGACACCTGTTTAATGACTCGGGCCCCAGTATCAAGTTCAGGCAGCATGTTTCAGAAGGCCCGCTTTTCTTTCAGGTGATAAAGCCCTACATCCCAAACCCTAAACCTTCAAAACTCAACCCTGAACCGTAGACCCTAAACCCTAAACCCCATACGCCCTTAGCATCTCTCCGACCCCGACATAGACCTTGAAGCTTAAGTCCAAAGAGCCCAAAGCCCCTCAAGCCTAAACCTTACCCCGCCCAGTCTTGCCTGCGAAGTCAAGCTCGATCCTTGCAGAGTCAGCCCTTTTGGCTCAGAGACGGTTTAGGGGTTTAAGAGTTGGGTTTGAGGCTGAGTGTCTCCAACTCGAGCTTTTTAACGCCTGGTTCAGAAGTTCCGGTGCCTAGATACGGCCTAAACTGTAGGGTTCATTATGCAACGAGTCTGTTGTAACTTCACCAGATGCCGGAGCATTTGCCATCGTAGGGGCCTGGCTCTTTGGTGAGCCCTCAGCGTACAAGGCAGACAGACCATCTGGCCCCAGCATATCGCGCAAAAAGCTTCTTCAACACTACACCCTGAATCCGCTGCATCCTTAAATTGGTTACCCTTGGAGTGAAAAGGCATTGTCCTGAAAGCATCTAGCATGTCGCAGGCCGGCAAGGTGCAGTGCCGATTCGGCTCCGCATGCGCTCGTCTCGACTGTTGGTTCGAACATCCTTTGGGCCATTCGCCGGAAGGGGTCGAGCCGATACCTTGCCGGTTTGGTGTTAAGTGCCACAGACCGGACTGCCGATTCTGGGTTCTTGTTAAGGAATAGAGCTTTAATAAAGAAGCAGTATGTTTTTTTACCTAAAATTCCCTATTGTGGTAAGTTGAACAAGAGCCCAGGATTCTCGCACCCTGTGGAACATGACCCGTCTGAAGTTCTGCCACCTGACTGTCACTTTGGAGCTGCCTGCTACCGTGTCGGATGCCCATTCAAGCATCCTGCTGTGCAAACCGTTACCAGAGATGCTGCCTCAGAGAAACGCATTTGCGTGTGGTTCCAGAAGGGCCACTGCAAAAATGGCTCCCAGTGTATCTTCCAGCATGTACAGCAAGAGCGTGATGCAAATGTCCTGGTGGTCCGGAATCTTCCAAAGTCGGGGGACCCCTTGTTGCTGGAGAACGAGATCTTGGCCTACTTCAAGTCCTTCGGGTATGTCTCGCGCATTCAGGCGCGTCTTCTGACATACCGGTGCCTTCTGTGAGGTACGAACATAATTATGTAGTTGTGCCAGCATTCGTCTCTCGTTTGCCCTGCACCCTAAACCCCAAGCCCCTTCGCTAACAACGAAGAGCAATGTATACAAAGAAACGCAGGTCAAGACCGACCTAGACAATCGTTGCCGCGGCTTCGCCTTCGTGATATTTGCTGATGCATGCTGTGCAGCTGATGCCTTGGCTAGCAACCACCCGCACTGGGATATACGGCTTAAGACGGAGTTGCCAATGCGCCTGCCATTGTTGAGAAATTCGTTCCTGCATTGAACTGTAACGCTTAAGCAGCCCGTTCTCTGCCTTTGCTTCTTTCCTGAATTTAAACAGCCAAGGTACATAGAAGGTACAATGAAGACGAGCCCTAAAGCTGCTCTTCCGGAGCGTGTGCGGGGGCAAGCTCGCTTGCCTTTCACTGCCCGCGATCGGGTTCTGCTTGTTGGCGAGGGCGATTTCAGCTTCGCTGCTACGGCCGTGAAGTTGGGGCTCCTTGGCACTGCGCACTGCTGCGCATGTTCGAAGGAACCTCCGCGGGATGCGAAACATCTACTGCAACTGGCCAAGGATGGCATGCGGTGTCTCACTGATATTGATGCCACGCGGCTGGCGGAAGCATCCCTCACGGGAGCTTTCGATGTGGTGGTCTTCAATTTCCCACACACTGGCGAGCCCAATGTCGAGGCAAATCAGACCCTCCTGAAAGGTTTCCTGGGAAGTGCCACGACAAGTCTCCGAGGAAACGGCCGCATTGCAGTCACGCTGAAGCAGACGTGGCCTTACACAGAGTGGGATTTGGAGGCTTGTGGAGCTTCGGTTGGGCTGAAGGTGGTGGATGCTTATCCTTTCCCAGCACAACTCCTGATCGAACGACGCGACGACGGACAACATCCCTCACAAAGTGGAACACTTGCGCTCGGCGAAGACGGTGGAATTTGTGCGCGTGTGAGCGAGACACTGGCAATTAGGAATTCGTGAGCGTTTGCTGAATGCTCAACTACTGCTTGTAATTTTTCGCGGGAGATAGGTCAAGACGTCATCTCCATCCATTCCCCAATTCGGACAAACAAGATGGATGACTCCAGACCCTATTCTCCCTACTCGGGACAACGCTTTCGCTCGACATAGTGCAGTCCCGTATAGAATCCTGCGTGCAATCTGGAGGTCAGTATCACATAGACTGACTGCTCTCCGAGTCCACCATGTTATGACTTAGTGAATCAGGCTACGTGCCGTGAAGCCCAGTCAATGCCTGCATGCTACAGATAAGGATTGGTCAAACATGTTCAAGACCATCTGACAACTTTAAACCATGAAGAAAACTGACCGCACCTCGAACCCAAACCTCAACCTCTACTCGTACGCTCGAGTACACTCGTTCATCAGCAAAGCATAGACTTTGGGGCCGGAAGCTTAGGGGTACTTAGAAATATTCTCAATTTTTGGTGATTATAATCCCTAAGAAACAGCTAAAATTGTATTTTTTGCTAGGGTTCTAAGTTCAGTATAGGAAGGTTCAGGATTCTGAGCATTAGGGCTGAGGGGTTGAAGTTTACGTGGCTTGGGTCTGGTGTGAGGGCTTTGTTTTAAGAGCCTTGCGGTTCAGAGGGTTTCCCCTAAACCGTTAAGTGCAGGTGTGGAGCTGCGAGGCATTAGCAAAGACAACGCCAGTTCCGCTTGGCATCTATGAAGTTTATAAAGGGTCTTGAAGCCTTAGAAGGGGCTCATCAACTAGCCAGGCCTTCGGATGTTGTTATTTAGGGGCCTTAATATTCACCTGTACTATTTAGAGGGTTCCTTATTATAACTATGGTATCGAGGGCCCCAAAACCCTAAGTCTAATTACTAAGGCGCCAATGTTGTTTTTGTTCAGCCCCCGTTAAGCTGACAAGGATCGTCTTCAGATGTAGTGTTTCAGAAGGAACGGAAGCAAATGTTCGAGGTATCCTTTTCGCACGGGGGTTTGGTTTCGAGGATTGGGGTTGCTGCGCTGCATCCGAAGCTAAGACACCTCAATACTGAAGATGCTCCGGAAAAAAACCCTGACCCTCAACCCGAAACGCTTGGTAGGCCCTAATGGCCCTAAACCCTTAACCCCAAAGGCCCTGGGGGACGTACAGAAAGCTCGCCCAGCTCAAGACTAACCTGAAGCGAGGAGCAGCAACGCCTTGTGTGCGAAGCTGTGGAATGCACAGGCAACGTCCCGGGCTCCCGGTCTGCTTAGTACTATAATGGATGAGGGTCCTTAATAATTACCTATACTGTCTTGGGAATCCTTATGATAATTATAGTACAGTGTTACAGGGGCCCTAATTACGGTTTAGGGTTTAGGGCTTAGGTTTAGGGTCACAGTAGAAGCCAGAAAGTTGGAACATGGCTTTAGGAAGATTCGTGCTAGGATCCCTTATACTATGCCTTAAGGTCATGAGGATAAGTTAGAAGCTGCCCCCACCCTGTAATCGTGGTATAATAGGGATATAATAGGAATATAATCGGGCCCTAATATAGTCCTTATAATCACAATTACAGGGTGGAGGCAGCTTCTAAAGGATAAGGATGTTTCAACTTTGCGGCTTCTACTATAAGGGGCTTCTTAGAGGGGTTTCGTTTTACAAGTCCAGCTTGCACTCGTGGTTCTGTTGCGAGCACTTTGGGCCAGGTTTGAGGGGTCGAGTCCAGCTGCCTAGAGGCTCCAATGAAGCCTGAAGCCTTTAAATCTAAATTTCAAGCCCAAACCCGTACAAACCTTGAAACCCTAAAGTCTGAACCCTCAATATTCGGGCCCCATTAGTTCCTATGAAAGAAGCTTCGGCTAAGAGGCTTACAGTAGAAGCCATAAAGCTGTAAAGCTAGAACAAGGGCTTAGGAAGATTAGCGCTGCCCTTCCTTTTGAATCTACATTGAGGGTATGTCGTATGTTCCAAACTTTCTGATTTGTCATGTGTATATATATATATACATACATACATACATGCATATGTGTGTATGTGTACATAATATGTGTGTGTGTATATATAATATGTATGTATGTATGTATGTATGCATGTATGTATGTATGTATATATATATATATATATGTAACTGCTGCTTCGGGGCTCTCGGTTTTGCATGCAGCGCTCCTTGAAGGGTAGTGGTGGGTTCCTGATATAGATCCTTCCCTAAACCCAAAGCCCTAAGCCCTAGAAGCACTAAACCCCCACAAACCCTAAACCCTAAAGCCTCAAAAACCCAACAACCCTAAAGCCTCAAAAACCCAATAACCCTAAACCCTAAAGTCTTAAAGACCCCCAAAAACCGTAAACCCTAAAACTTCAACCCCCGAAACCCCCAAAACCCCAAACCCCAGCCAGTCAAGGCGTGGAGGAAGACGAGGCCCTCTGCTTGCTGCGGGCCTGTCGTTGGGATATCGCAAGGTACAACGAGGCCGGGTGTGGGGCTGTTTGGGATTTAGGGTTTTGGTGGATTTTAGGGGCTTGAGGGTCGAATATAGGGGCCTGAACACTTACAAGAGGGTTCTGGGGCCCATTATACTACAAATCAGGAACCCCCCGAAATAGTATAGGTAGTTGTTTAGGCCCCTAGTAGAGTGCAAACACTCGTTGGTCAACGTTGGGTACTTTTGCCCGGCTCAAATAAGATATGACGGGGGGGTCTGAAGTGCGGCAACCAAGAGCCTGGCAGACGCGCAAGTTCTTTGCCCATAGTCTGGAAATTTCGATCTGCCCTGAATCAAACTCTTACACCACTAACCTCTGAAATCCTTACACGCGAAACCCGTGTTGCGGCCTGAGCAATTTTTTTGAAGCTGGTATTGAGCCCACCTCGAAATCCGGAATCCTAAAAGAACACCTCGTAAGCAGGCTCATAGTCAGGAGAACTCCCCCAGACCCCATCCCCCTCTGGAAGCCTTCTGAGGCCCACGATAGAAGGATCCTTTTGAGCCCTAAACTCTCTGAAACCCTAAGCCCCTAAACCCGAAACCCCGAACCACTGACCCGAAACCGTAGCCCAAGAAACCCTAACCCCTAAACCCGAAAAACCGCAACCTCGGAAGCCTTAAACACCAAACCCCTTCGGTTGGTGATATAAATCCTGCATTACCCACAATAAGGAATGTGCCATTATTCCCGTAGTTTTGGGGCCTCAAGGTAATGCAGGATTCATATCATCAAACCCTAAACCCTAAACCCCCAGCTGCCCTAACCCCTGAGTCCAGGCCTTCTTCGAGGACTCTGAGAGTTTGCGCCGGCGAGTTGGGATCTCGGAGGTCGGCCGCCGCAGGGCGGGTTTTTGGGTGTTTGGAGTTTTGGGGTTTAGGGTTTAGGGGTTTAAAAGGTTCAGGGTCACGGTTTAGGGTTTGGGTTTTGGGATTTGGGGTTTTGGGGTTCAGGGTTTAGGGGTTCAGGGTTTAGGGGTTTGGGGTTTAGGGTTTGGCATGAGGGTGCTTGAGGGGTTCCATGATTAAAGGTACATCTTTTCGGGTGTGTGGCCGGCATGTACAGGCATGGGAGGCTTTATGAGGCTTAGTTAACGGATCATGGGACTTAGTAACTAGGGTTTTAACCAAAGTAACTTTACTTATAGTTATGTATAACCTTACTTACTAAGTCCCGTGACCTTCCATGTAGTTAACTCTATAACTCCTCCCTATCTCCTCGGGAAGGTTCGGCAGGTTCCGGGGAGGAGGGATTCTCCGGCAAGGGTTCTTTTGGGAAGAAGACATCCGAGATGACTAGGCGCCTGGCATAGGGCTATTCCGTAGCGCCCTGTTCCCTTATTGGTGTATCTTTGAAGCCCCAATGCTCTAAATCATGTGGGCTTCTATATTAAGGTCGAGGTGGTAGACCGGGATGGAGGGATGGGGGCATTGGAAAAACTGTCTTATTCAGAACTTGGTTTACCTGCTTGCTAACCGCCAAGTCCTCTGATTCTGCAAGCATGAGACCCTATAGTAGAAGCCAGAAAGTTGGAACATCAATATCCTCAAGCCTTTAAAGTAAAGAATCGGGGATCCTAGCACCAATCCTCCTAAACCCATGTTCCAACTTTCCGGGGTTCTCTGTAAACCCTGAACCTTGAAGCCCTTTGAGGAGCTGTCTCTTCTCGACCTTCAACGCCTAAACCCAAAAAGCCTGCACCCTAAACCCTGCACCTTCTTATGGAACCCTTGCAGGAACCCTTATCGTTAGGAACCCTTACCCTTCTGGCCCCATTGAAGGATCACGGGACTTAGAAACTAGGGTTCTAACATGTTCTAACTATGACAATAGCTTCTTATATCCCATTTATGGTACTTCTAACCTTACTTACTAAGTCCCATGCCCCTCCGAGCATTGAAGGAGGAGGAGGCCACGGAGCCGGGATCATCTCAACTATGTGGCATCTGCCTCTTGCCCGGAGCGCTTTGCTTCTGCGGTTCGCAAGTTTGGGATTGTCGGGTTCCTGAAAGGGCCCCATACTGGGTTTTATCAGAGTTTATGTGGTGTTGCATAGGGTTTGGGGTGCAGTGCTGTAGGGTTTTTATGATTTATGGGTTTAAGGTTAGGGTTTAAGATTTTTGGTTCAGTGAGCAGGGCCTTGGATTTGGAATGGGTGGGTTTAGGGATGTAGGCTTGGGTCTTACGACTGAAGCTTAGGATATGGCATTTGAGGGTTTTTGGCTTAGGGATTCTCTACAGACGAAGAGGCCAACTGCTCGAGCCTCGACTGGGAGCCGTAACTAGACGGACCCAACTTAGCACAGCCACATACTCCAGCCCTTGACCGTGACCTTTCGCGTTGATTTCCCGCGCCTTGTAGAGAGAACCTAGTTATTTGATGTACCGTCCCGAAGTCACAACCGAGAAACCCATGTGCAGCCTAGTTCCATGGTGATATTTACAGCTTTCGAGCACTTCGTAAATGAGTTCATAACAAGTGGGCATAAATGCCCTTATTCGAGCAATCTTAATCATAGCCCTCTTACAGCTACTTAACAA